GGTCTTAAAGCACATTCCACAAGATCTCTCTCCTCTTCTTGGGCAGTGGCGGCTAATGTATCTCCAGAGCTGATTTGTAGAGCAGCTACTTGGTCTTCAGCTAACACCTTGATAATACATTACTAATTGGATGTCAAAGCAGGACAGTTTGACCAAGTTGGAATAGTGTTCTTTCAGCATTTGTCATTTGAATTTCATTATTGTGTGTTTTTTTGTTCACATTCAGCTTGTTGTGATAATACACTTTTGCATTGGATTTCATCTAGTGTCTGATTTTTCTTTCTCTCTCTTGGTTATTGCTTGGGTATTATCCATTGTTGTGCTGCCATGGATACGGCCAGGAAAAGAGAAAATGTATTCATACTTTCTATCCCTTTCTTTTCCTGGTCATGAGCCAGGGTGGCACAAATATCCCGCTCAAATTTATTGCTGGTTACAAGACTGAGGAAGGAAGGGGTGGGCTTTTTTATACCCTTCTTATAATTAAGAGTTCTTTTTCTAATTAGGGATAGGAGGAGCTAACCATTGTTGTGCTGCCATGGCTTATGACCAGGAAAAGAAAATTACGGTAAGAATTAATATATTTTCTTTTTAAATATATATATATATATATATATATCATGTATATATTTTGCAGTAAACAGTATTTTCACGCCATTTGGTTCACAGATCAAGTGAGAAGACGTAACCAATAGAGGGTAAAAAAGGAGATGCAGTAAATAAATATTTATTTATTATTTGTATATTCATTAAAGATATAATATATAATATATAATACATATAGATTTTTTTTATTATAGCTCAGTTTTTCCCCTCTGTTGGTCACTTTTCACTTCAACATATTAAAATATCAAGACATACATCATATATAAAAACCCAACAATATATCAAAAACTGTCAAAATATCACAAAATGAAAAAACATTTCATAATATAAAACGATTTTAAAAGTTTATCCAAAAACATTAAATTATCTGGAAAACTCACCCAACAATATTAAATACTGTATAGGCCTAAATGTATCAATAAGATGAACATTAAGTGGCTGTCCCCTAACCGTCAATTAACTTTTCTTTCTAGTAATCTTATTTATTTATTTATTTTGGCGCAACAGAGAGTCATGAAACAAATAAAATGGTTCTTTCATTTGCTTTGTGATTCCTCTATATGGCCAATCAGAGTTCAGGAGTTTGTACAAACTGCCAATCACCCAAAATTCAGATGAATCATGATTTGTTTGAAACCAAATGCATACGTTTAGTATTATATGCCAAGCGTGCCAGCTTGACAGACATGGCTAGTTCTCATTGCTCTCTGTCTATCAGAACTCAAAAGCTCCACTGAAGAAAACTGGTGTCCTTTGCATTTCCATCATTCTTTAGTTCAATGTGCATATCAATGTAATTATTCATATTCTTTCTCTGAATCAACAAAGTTCCAAAAAGGAGTGTAAATGTTCGACCAGTGAGCAGTCATCTAACTTGCAGACATCTACAGTTCAAAGGCAGCTTCATAGAAATGTGTATTGCCATACACATTGCTGAAATTACAGTCTAAAATGGCTCAAAGCTTCTACTAATCCTACCAAAGGAGTCTATAAGCTAGCAACTTACACACAGAGTTGTAATTGCAGTGTAAATGTATCTGTCTTATCAACTTTGACATAACTGTGTCTTAAACTGAATATTATAGAGCACCAGGTGAACCAAAAAATAATACTATAAAGGGAAGTGCTCATGCCATTGTACAGAACACTGGTGAGACCTCACTTGGAGTATTGTACGCAGTACTGGAGACCGTATCTTCAGAAGGATATTGATACCTTAGAGAGGGTTCAGAGAAGGGCTACTAAACTGGTTCATGGATTGCGGGATAAAACTTACCAGGAAAGGTTAAAGGATCTTAACATGTATAGCTTGGAGGAAAGACGAGACAGGGGGGATATGATAGAAACATTTAAATATATAAAGGGAATCAACACAGTAAAGGAGGAGACTATATTTAAAAGAAGGAAAAACTATCACAACAAGAGGACATAGTCTTAAATTAGAGGGACAAAGGTTTAAAAATAACATCATGAACTATGTTTCTATTATAATACTATAAGCTTAAGTTCATGACTGCTGACCCATGAATATCCATCCCGTTGCCCAATAAACACACAAACACCTGTATAATGGATAAGGCCACAGCTTTATTAATATATTTCAAGCCAGCATTAACTTCCACCTGTCAGATGATGGGACTGATTATCCCACCAGACAGATACCACCTTCTTTCCCAGAGTCCGAAGCAGCCTGCCATCTGCCTTCAGTCCAAGCAGGCTGGGAATCCCCAATGCAAATCAGCACTTGCCTTAAACTGCGCTGGCCAGGAACCCCGAACGCTGTGACAATACAAAGCAGAAACAGACACAAAGCACAAACCATCTGCAATAATCACAAAGCAAACAGGGAGGGTGGGAGAGAAAGAGCTAGAGCCCTACTCTCCTTTCTTTCAACTCGTGAGTACCCTCCCCTTACTCCCCTTTTATCTGTCCCTTAGATTGCAACATTGTTTTCCCCTTTCTTCCAGCCCCCTTACTCTGGCCAACAGTCATGTTTCCCTTCCTTGCAGTCCAGGGAATCCCTGGAATGAGCATTTAGGGATGTTGTGTACTATTAAATATCCATTTAAAACCTTGTGTTTTTAGTAGTCTCTGTCATATGCTCCTGTCATATTGCTGTTGGTAGAGCTTTCACTGCCAATCACTTAGAAATTAACTTTTTACCCATCACTGTACCCAAATCTACAACTTGCATTTACCATAAACCTATAATGTATTCCATTTTATCCACTTAATAACCTGTATGTGAACTCATTTACCCAACATCAACATAGCAACATCACGTCTAAAGAAAACCGTTATACCCTTTGCATGCTTACAAACATTGTCCATAACATTTAACTGTTACAATTAGATTTCTCCATGACACAGCCAACAGGTTAAAGGTATAAGCATGGAACAAGGTGTAAGATACACATTCAGAGAATACTGGAATAAAACATGTTTGAAATGCATTTGCATGGTAATTCTTAATAGGACAAATTATTAAGATAATGACTACCTTTAAACATGTTTTTTTTTTTTTTTTTAGCTCTTTTATGTTTTCTTAGAGGCTTCCCAAATTAAATGAAAAAAAAAATGTACTCAATTGCAAATTAGCATGAGCGTCTTGCAAACCAGCAAGTTTGTCTCATGGTTAATTTGTAACCTCTCCTCTCCTTCCCCCTGGGTCATGTCACTGTTTCTCTTTTGTCTATAACACAATGAATTGCTCATTTCTTGAAATCAACCTTCTCGATCCTCCCTTGAGTACTAATGCTCCATTGTCACTCTTTGCACTGGTCAATACTATGACCATTAATCTGACTGTGGAACTTTATTAACTCTGGCTTCTCTTTTGCTCCTCACACTCAATCAGCCTCCAAATCCTATAAATTTCACTAAAGAAAAGATGCAATTAAGTCACTTAATGCACTCGTTATTTCTCTCCATTCTACTGCAACCCACCTTTCGTCAGATTTCCTAATGCCTGCACTACCTTACTGTACTCTTTAATGAATGCGGCAGACGTGCTTATTTTCCTTAGCTGCGGCTCGACACAAACCTCACCCAGTTTGTCAATCCTTATACTGGGTTCTCCTACACTTTACAATCAAGTTCATACTCTAGTTTATAATGTACCAAGCACTTAACAACTCTGGCCCAAAGTTCACATCTCCTTTATTTTACAAGAACCCCTCTTATCTCTCACTCTGCTCTGCCATTGATTGTCTTGTATCCCCTATTCACATGCACACCTAGAGCTGGCACTACCAAGAGAAGAAACATACACAAGAAAGATATATACCAAGCGCTCAACTATAAGGATTTATCCATGTAGGATCCACATAATGTAGTTAGAGTGATAAATAGGAAAGACAACCTGTTACCACACCAGGTCCATCAATACCATAAATTTAAAAAAAGCCCATAGCACACCAAATAATGCAAAATTTAGCTTTATTCACATGAAATATAGTCAAAAAGCTCATCAAGAATAAAGTGCATATACATAAAGTGCATAACAGTAAAGAATAACACACAAATATCAAATATATATATAAAGTACATACATAAAAACCTAATTGTGCAAATCCAGGTGGTTGCCCTAGGAGCTCACTAAACAGGGAGAGCAAAAACTGGATAACGTATGAGATTGTTAGTGACATTGTCTTATATTAACTGTAATGCAGATGTAGAGACAAGCACACAAGTCACTGTTTTTATATGGACAGAACAGAACAAACAGACATCTTAGAGTAAAGACAGTTACAATGGCTGGACTTAAAGCTGAAGAGACAGGACTTTTTCTATACAATAAATGTAAGGTCCAATGAATAATGATCCGTAGAGGTAGATAGGTCAGCGCCGCTCCAGTTTTTGTTAACATCGATACAAAAAAATTAAAAATCTATTGTCGTGGTTAGAATTAATAATAAGTGAGTGTTAGAATATAAACATGCTGTGTCAGTAATGATTTTGTTCTACAATTTTCTCCTTCCTTCCTTATTGATCGTTGGAGATGCTGCTGAACTGCTGAGCAACAAATCATGTCAAGATTTTGGAGCAGTTTGAAAAAGTGTCCCATTTTCCGAGTATAGACCATCAGACATGCCTAGCTACACTAACAGGATTTCTGATGTCAATCATTGGCTTTGCATTGAACCACCAGATCCTGGTTGTCCTAAAAGACATGAATGTATAATGTCTTGTCCACGAATTAAGTAAATGGAACTATATGGGCAGAGCCCAACAAGTCAGGGAGCAACATTAAATTCCAGGCATAGACTATAGCGTCATCATTTTAGAAAGTCAACAGGTCTTCACTGTTCTACATACATAGCATAATTATATATTCATTTTTATGCCATCTTCAACAATAGCTTGTTTTATATGCCATAGAAATACTATGAAGGCCACAACTAAGGCTATTTGCTTGTGTATATTGATACACACCTTTCACCATCTTTATAATCATGCAACACTAAAATTTTGTGTGAACGTTTCAAACTTAGACTTGACAAACACCATTACCAGGTTGAAATGTTTTCGAGTCATTCTTTGTCTAAATAAATTCATTTTAAATTGAAACTGGTTTCTCATAATTAATTTTTTATAGTATACAGAGCTGTAAAATATTCTGGTGCTAGATTAATATAAATAGCATGTTAATACATGTGAAAATTAAGAAAATCCAAAAAGAACTTTAAAAAGTGCAAATCAATTCTAAAAACACAATCTCTTCGAAGTACTGAATTTCTGGCTTGTAAAACTGCAAGAAGATTTTTTATGTGTAGAGAAAATTGAAAAGTATATATTTTTGAACACTAGTCGCATTGCAAAAAAGAATGTGATTAATAAATAATTACATGTACGCAACAACTGCTATATTGTATTCTACATCAAGAACGTATACATTAATGTTTGGTCTTCATTACAATAAAACATTTTCCTGTATTGATTAATAAAATATTGCAATTGCTTTTTTTCTCAGATTTTTGCAAATAGGAGAAATGTTATATCTTGCTTCTTACTGGATTTAATTTATTTCCTGAGCTCAAGTAGTACACTTTCCCTTTTTTGAGCATGATTTTGAGTTTTTCTAACCACTAATTCATAAATTTGAAGCTATACTTTCAGTCATTCCCATATGAGAACATCCCTTTTTTATCACGTTGGACTCAATTAACTTTGAAGAAATAAATTGTGTCTGAAGTATCTTTGCAAATGCATGAAACCACTGAGAACCAGGGGCCAGGCCAAATAAATTAGAGGTACCATCACGTTATATTTTTTGCAGTTAAAATGCTTCATTGAATTCATAGTGTTTTTCTCAGTGTAAGCTTCAGTTACTTCAAACTTTTGGCACAGCATGTGCTGACGATGACAATATTTATACAAATCATCTGATTGTTTGACATGGTTGAAAATATAGCTAAAATGTAAGCTCATAACACTTGCTTTTTTTTTAGCTGTCATACATTATTATTCTATCAGCTGTGCTATATGTAACCATGATTATCAATAGATCATTGTCAATGATATTTTAAGTATTTAAGTTACATGAAAACCATTTTAAACCTACCATTGTATTTGACTCAAAAAATTTCGTTCTGTTTTGTGTTGGCCATAGCTGTTGGATACTAAAAAAGAAAAATGGCAAATAGAGATTTTCTAGCCATATTCCAATAAGTACTGAATTGTCTACATTGGGCTTGTTTTAATTTTCATTCTCTTGCTGGTAATGGAGCCGGTACGCACTCGCCATCAGCCATAAAGCGATTATGCCTCCACTCTCTGCTAGGCATGTCTGTCTCCACTGATGTCATCCACCACTTAGACCTTGATTTGATTCCAGATGATCATGTTTATCAACAGTTTATTGGCTGCTGATAACCTATTTACCAGTTCAGATCGATTTATTTACAGCAGCTTTTTGCAAACCGATAAGACAGTTAGTCATTAAAAAATGTAGAACATTTATCAAAATGTTTTTGTCAATAGAATTAAATTGAGGTCTTAAAGTTTACTATTTTACAAATTGAATGTTTAAATGCTTGCATTTAAATATGCCGTGCTTATAGATAGGCTTTAATGCTTTATCTTACTTAAATATACATAATATGATTTTTTTTTATTTCAATGTATTAAGTGCTAATTGGCAGAAAACCTGTCTTTTCATCTTCAGGTGCCGTAAATGATGCAGGTATAATTTTTAATCATGTGGGTATGATGGTAATATTTACCATGTAGCATGGAAACCAGATGGTAAATAGTAGACTTGTGCTATTCATTAGAATTTTGGGTGATCTGTGATTTGTCCGAATTCAGGGTAATTAGAGATTCATCTGAGTTCTGTAACTCCAGATTGCCACATGACGGAATCACTAAACAAATTAAATGATGAATGAATAAGCCATTCTGTTTGATTTGCGTTGTAGAATTTCACCTGATCAGTGATGGTAAAAAAAATTACCGATGGTTTTGGAACAGTTCCCATATACTGGAGTGAACATCAGGGGTAAAAAAGGAGGATTAATTTAAGAAAATAATCTAAATTTAAATATTATAAATTTAATAAATATATCAAATAAAAATATATAAATATAGATTTTTTTTTTTTTACAGCTCATCATCTTTTTTTCCCAATCCTGGTCATTTCTCACTTAAACTGTGAAACAAATCTACATTTAGCAGCTGCCATTAGCTATTAGTAATTTTTTTTCTCTTTTTTTTTCGACGCCGCATGCAGAATTTATTATCACGAATCAAAAACGAACATGATCATCCATTGCGTGTTTCGTTTAGTTTGTGATTCAGCTACATTTCCTCTCACAGTATGGGAATTTGTACAATCGCCTGATTTGCTTCTCCTCCTTGTTTCCCTCTACTATTATTATTTTAATATTTATATAGCGCCAGAAAATTCCGTAGCACTGTACTATACACTTGATCTGTGAACCAAATTGTGCAGAAATGTAATTATACGTCTACTGCATTTATTACACGCATTTAATTTGTGGTGCACTAATTGGTGCATTTTGGCATGTTCAAATAACTTTTCTTGAAGCGATTGCTATTCATGCAAAACATCACACCAAAACAAAAAACAACTTTTGTGTACGAATTGATTCAGACAAATTAACATTTTCACAGTGGACAAGTCTATGTTTAGCAACTGTTATTAAATTCTATTGGAGGCATGAAAAATTTCACCAGCCACTAATTTTCAGTGTTATTTACTTAAGTTAGCATTCAAATTGATGTTAAAAATTGGGAAAAAAACTTTAAAAAAAAATCAAAATTCAACTATGCTTTCAGCTTCTCTGGCATTAAAGGGACACTCTGGCCACCATAACAACTTCATCTATAAATGAGTAGCTATTGATTTGCTTACAGCATCAGCTGACCGCTGTAGCCAATTAGCGGCATCCCTGCCCGGTGATATTCCACACTTTCTGTAACTCAGATTCAAAAACAAGATGCTGCCTGGGGTACATGGAGATTGACGCTGGAGGCAACCTTTGAGGTTAAACAGTTTGAGAATGGTTTAACCCCTTAAGGTAAGAGTGCACCTGGAGGCCACCTGGTACCATAATAACTTTATCTAGATGAAGTTGTTATGGTGACCGGAGTGTCTCTTTAAATTCGAAATTCTCACTTAAGTAAATAAACTTTGCACGTTTTGTAGCACGGAAACTGCCACTGGTTGCTAATGTTAGTGACAGTTACCTTAACAATTATCATCTTCCTGAATTGCAACTCCTATGGGAAAATCAGTTGTTCAAATGTCATTTGACAGTAGGTATAATGAACTGAAAGCCTTTTTTCTATTGTCATATTTTCCAATCATGATGGAAACATATATTTAAAGGGTTCGGTAAAATTCCATATTTTACACATATTCTCTTACCTAACAGAAGGTTTAGACAGGTTGGATTTGCAGAATTTTATTTGTATGTTCTTAAAACTGAAAATTCTTGTGATCATTGCGGGGTTGTCAGTCCTATTCCTTTTTTTTTTTTTTATAATATATGTCATTAGCTGTCAGATGCATGACGCTACTCAGTGTTGTTGTGAGTGGGTGAAATGCAGAAACAGATGCTTGAACAGTTTAAAGAAGAAAAAGTCGCTTTTCATTTCAACCAGGTAGCCAGTTCTGGTCACCATCACTAAAACCGGGAATAAACAAACCTACGACCATTTTGCTATTACATTATCCATGGATTAAAGTAGCCTATTAGTGGCAAGCCATCTGCAAAGGAAGGTAGATCATGATCATGCCTCTAAAAAGAATGCATTTTGTACCAGAACACAGTGTATGTAACCAGACCATAAACAGCATGTTTCATTTAAAAGCAGCACCGTTTCTATAATTCTCTTTCAGGCAGTGTAGGACAAAGTCAGATAGCAACAATTACATGCATATCTATGCATGCATGAACAATTATCTAGTTAGTGCAAATACTTCTTAGCCATATTGATGTTCTGTAGGAAAATATAAACTCACTTTTAAAAGATGTATCTGCCGTTGGTGTTAATCATTTTGAAAATACAAATTAATGGAAAAGTGCACATATAAAAATACAGTACAAAAAATGGCTATTTAAAATCACCTACCTTAGCAAAAAACATAGAGATTTAGTCACATCATATGGCAATATCGTATTTAAACCAAACACTACTTTAAAGTACCGCAATATCAGTGGGTCCTATACTAATTTTAACTAATATTTATCTTAAATAAATTAAAACAGCCCCAGAACCTCTCAATGTATTTGGAGGAGCTCACAAAGACAATCACACCATGACCAAGTATCAGGGTCAGCCTGTCCTTTGGCCCCAGTGGGCACCAGGCGGCACTGTACCCTCTAACCAACTGCTAGGGGCCCTGACTGCCTTATTGCATACATATATGGTGAGTACCCCTATATACCGTGTTTCTCCGAAAATAAGACCGGGTCTTATATTAATTTTAGTCACAAAAAACACACTAGGGCTTATTTTCAGGGTAGGGCTTATTTATTTACGGTATGTACATTGAACCCCCCCTTTAATTAATCCACCACCCCTTTAATTAATTCACCACCCCTTTAATTAATTCACCCCCTCTAATTAATCCAGCCCACCCTTTAATTAATTCACCACCCCTTTAATTAATTCACCCCCTCTAATTAATCCAGCCCACCCTTTAATTAATTCACCCCCCTTTAATTAATTCACCCCCCTCTAATTAATCCAGCCCACCCTTTAATTAATTCACCAATTAATCCAGCCCACCCTTTAATTAATTCACCACCCCTTTAATTAATTCACCCCCTCTAATTAATCCAGTCCACCCTTTTAATTCAACCCCTTTAATTAATTCACCCCCTCTAATTAATCCAGCCCACCCTTTAATTAATTCACCACCCCTTTAATTAATTCACCCCCTCACCCCCCTCTAATTAATCCAGCCCACCCTTTAATTAATTCACCACCCCTTTAATTAATTCACCCCCTCTAATTAATCCAGTCCACCCTTTAATTAATTCACCCCCCTTTAATTAATTCACCCCCTCTAATTAATCCAGCCCACCCTTTAATTAATTCACCCCCCTTAATTAATTCACCCCCCTTTAATTAATTCACCCCCCTCTAATTAATCCAG